TATATATATATATATATATATATATATCTATTAGTTTGCGTTTATAATTATAGCATTTTAAACTAATAAATATTTTCATCTTTCTTTTCATTTGAGGAAGAAATACTCTACTATTATATTTCAATTCTTGATATGTTGATATCAAAGAGTAAATTTCAAATATTTGAATTTTTCTTTTTAGAAAAAAAAAACAATATTCTTATAATCTAATTATAAACAATTTTCATTACATTGATAATTTATGACAATTTAGATGAGGTAGATAGTATACGTGTCCAGAAACTAATATAAAAAGGTGGGAGAGATATTGGTATATATTTACAAGTGATGGTCAAATATTTGACCTAGCTAAAGTGTGAGGGAAATGTGTCAATTTGGCATGACAATATTATAATATAAGATACCAATCTCTACCTCCCAAAGCACACACACCATACACGTAGTCTTTAATAATAAAACTTTATCCTACAAAACAAAACATTATAGCTCTTTTAGCTCATTTCATTGTCATCTTTATTCTATTATTTTCTAAAGCGTGTTGGTCTTTTACTTTTCAAACTTATAAGAAAAAAAAAGTTTGTATACCTCATTTAACTATAAATACCCCATTCTTCTTCCTTCTTCATCATATAAATCCTTTATTTCTTGTCTTTCAACAACAAAAAATTATATAACTTTCCTAAGATTTCTTTGTTTCAAAGTTCAACCCTTTTATCACTTACTCATTTTCTACTTACATCTAGCATGTGTAATATGGTGTTAGTTTCTGTTTCCACGGCTGAAAAAGAATCTTTCTTCTCAAGATTACGTAATAGGTTTTTCCTAAAAAAGACTAATACTCCTAAGAAGGAACATGAGAGTGTAACAACAACAACTATTACTACTACTACTACCACTATTGATCGTTTATCGGTGAGTGATAGTAATAGTGGCGAGTTAGAGAGGGTATTTACGTACTTTGATGAGAATGGAGATGGAAAGGTGTCACCAACGGAGCTAAGGAGATGCATGAAGGCGGTAGGAGGTGAGATGACGGTGGAGGAGGCTGAGATGGCGGTGAGGCTATCGGATTCAGATGGGGATGGGTTGTTAGGGTTGGAGGATTTTACGAAGTTAATGGAAGGAATGGAGGAAGAGAGGAATAAAGAGAGTGAGTTGATGGGAGCATTTGGAATGTATGAAATGGAAGGATACATTACTCCTAAGAGCTTGAAGATGATGTTGAGTCGACTCGGCGAGTCAACCTCCATTGATAAATGCAAGGTTATGATAAGGAGATTTGATATCAATGGAGATGGAGTTCTTAGCTTTGATGAGTTCAAAGTTATGATGACAACTTAGAAGAGATATTTGTGTACATAATTCTTTGGCCTTGGGCTTGTTATTGTTATTTTATTTCTTCTTGATTCTTGAGCTCAAATGTTTCTGGTAATTATGTAAATGGTTTTTGGTTGAGATTTATACATTCATAGATTCAAATTTGTAATCAATTCCTTGGTTTACTAACTTGGAGAAGTGTTACTTCAACAGTGGAAATTGAGTTTGTTTCTATTGTTCTTTCATAGCGTATGATTGAAAAGGACTCCCCTAGTCTGGTCCATATTAAGTGAATTGTTGATACTTTTTTTTTTTTATATAATTCAAAATAAGTGAATTTTCAAAGTTCAAGAGAATTGTTGGGATTATTTTTTCATATTTACCCTTCCTTCTAATGAGTTTCTTAACTAATTTACATTTTCTAGGAGAATAGTTTGAAATAATCAAAAGGGTAAATAGTGGAAAGTAGCCTTTAATTTTTGTCCTTATATGTATTTTCTTAAGGGTGTGTATGCTCCAACAATTCACTTAATGTGGACTAAAGGGGGTATAGTTTATAGGGTCTCGTGTTGAGGTTAGATCACGGATCGGAATATGGGTTAGAAACCTAGTCAGGGTCGAGTTGGGGTCAAGATCCATGTCTCGATTAACGGATCGAGTCACAAGCTATGGTTGAGTTCTGGGTCAGCGTCAAAGTCGGGGATCAGGTATTGATTCAATGTGAAGGATAGGGGTCGGGGGGTTTGAGTCTCGAGTTGAGGCCAGGACAAGGTTTGAGTTTATAGTCGTGGTCGATACTAGCTAGGTACTGATTCACAAGTCGCAACCGAAGAGTCGAGTCTCGAGTCAAGGTCCTATTGGGTCTCGGACCAAGGATTGATTAATAGTCCAGGGTCGAGTCTCGAGTTAGGGTTCGAGTTAGAGTCAAACCAATGCTCGATTCTAAGTCGTGTCGACGATCATGTCCAAAATCGTGGATCAAAGATTGGGTTTGGTACCATGTTGGGGATTGAGATCGGAGCTAGGGGTATGGTTTTCAAGTTGAGGTTAGGGTTGGGCCGGATGTGAGGTCTCGATTCCAGGTCGGGGTCGAGTTCCATGTTGGGTTCAAGTCTAGGTCTTGGCCATATTATTTGCTTATATTCTACTTAAATGCTCTTAAAATAATATTTTCTCCTTACTCACCAAACATAAAAAAAAATAGATAAAAATCACTTATTTTTCAAAAAAAAAAAATCGACAAACCCACCTAAGGGGATATTAGAAATTAAACTCAAAAAAGAGAAAGAGGAAAGAAAGGACACTATTTTGGATATGTCATAAGAGGTAAGGATATACGTCAATTTGGCATGACAATATTTGAATATAATATAAGATTTCAATCCCCAAAGAGATACACACACCAAACACGTAGTCTTTAATCATATTTAAATGTTATAAAAACTTTATATTATATTTTATAGCCTGTTGCCTGTTTACTTTTCAAACTTCTTGTTTTCTACCTACAAAACAAATGGTAAGCCCACTGAATTAACTATCCCTTTTTCTTCAACCCCACAAACTATAAATAGACCATTCTTCTCCCTTCATTCCCATATCCTTGATTTCTTGTCTCTTTACGTGGTTTTCTTTGTTAATTTCAAGTTCAACCCTTTTCTCACTTACTCATATTCAAACTTTCTTGAATACAAGAAAAAGCAGTTCAAACGTATATTTGTTTGCTAGTATGTGTATAGCATCAGTAACTGTTTCCACAGCTGAAAAGGAATCTTTTTTCTCAAGATTACGGAATATATTTCATCTCAAAAAGAAGGAAGAGGAGAAGAAGACAACGACAACAACAACAACAATAACAACTGCTACTACTACTAACTCATGTGTTAGTAGTAGTAACAAGGGAGAGTTAGAGAGGGTATTTACGTACTTTGATGAGAACGGAGATGGAAATGTGTCACCACCGGAGCTAAGGAGATGCATGAAGGCGGTAGGAGGTGAACTGACGATGGAGGAGGCGGAGATGGCTGTGAGGCTATCGGATTCTGATGGGGACGGGTTGTTAGGGTTGGAGGATTTTACGAAGTTAATGGAAGGAATGGAGGAAGAGAGGAATAAAGAGAGTGAGTTGATGGGAGCATTTGGAATGTATGAAATGGAAGGATACATTACTCCTAAGAGCTTGAAGATGATGTTGAGTCGACTCGGCGAGTCAACCTCCATTGATAAATGCAAGGTTATGATAAGGAGATTTGATATCAATGGAGATGGAGTTCTTAGCTTTGATGAGTTTAAAATTATGATGACAAGTTAAGAAGAGTTTAGAGAGAAATATTTGTGTAAATATGATTCTTGAGATCAAATAATTCATTGAGATTTTTTCATTTCATATTTGTAAAGTTACTCCCTCCATATTTTATGAATTGGAGCACGTATTACTTCTTTGTTTATTAAATTATTCATCGAACGAGGTGTTTAATTACTATCGTTACGCATTCTTTCTTGATATTATATTGACCTATCTTACTCAAATATCTTTAATTTCCCCTTATTTACATCAAATTTACCACCTCACTATTAAATTTGGAATAGTTTTACACTCTTCCAGTGTCCTAGCTATCCTTGCCCAACAAGAAAAACAAACAAATTCAAGCCAAGTGTAGTCTTACTAAAAGTAGAAGTAGAAACTCAAAGAGAACTTACATTATAGATGAAAGAAAGGACACTATTTTGGATATATATGCCATAAAAGGTAAGTAGTGTATATATTAGGGCGGTCAAATGAACAGGTTAAGCTGAATTTAAGGATGTTAAAATGAGTTGAACTAATAAATGAACAGGTCATTAACGGACTGGGAACCTAAATAAGCCACAAAAACATAAAAAATAGACCAAAATAAGCCACTACTTTAGGAAGTAACTAAAATAGGCTTAGTGGAAGAAAAAATTCCACTTTATCTAATATTCTAAACGTTTTCCGTTAGTCTCATAACGTGTATATTTTAATATATAACGGAATTATTTTCTACACTTTATAAAATGGAACTATTTTTTACACTTTACAAAGTGGAAGAGAAAATTCCACTTTACAAAGAGAAATATTTTCACGTTTTTATCTCTTTTGCAGTGTTTGTCATACAATTATATTGATTTGACATATCATAAAAATGGAAAAATTATTACACTATGTATTTTTATTTTTTTATTCTGAAAAATCCTCCAATCTCTATTTAAGGAGGAACGTTCAAAACATTAACTTGGTAGCACCTACAACATACTTTCTATATTTGTTCATTTTGATCTCAAAAAAAAAAATGTCTTCTAAACCAAAAGTTAGAGTTTTGATTTATTGGGATGGCGAAATTATACATGACGGAAATACCGTTTATTATAAGTGTCATCCCAAATACAATGCAAAATATTAAATTAATGTTCGATATCACAAAAAAATTTCATCAATTTATAAAAGAATGGGTATAAACAGTACTGTTTATAATTTGATTATAGTCGTAAAATACCCTACTTCATTTTTATCACAAGGACAAGTAAATTTTGGAGAGTGAATTATCTATATCAAACGTTTTCCGTTAGTCTCATAACATGTGTATTTTAATATATAACGAAACTATTTTTTACACATCGTAAAACGAAACTATTTCTTACACTTTGTAAAGCGTAAGTTTTTGTTACACTTTGTAAAGTGGAACTTTTTCTTATTTTATAAAAAGTGTAATAAAAAGCTCCACTTTATAAAGTGTAAGAAAAAGTTTCACTTTATAAAGTGTAAGAAAAAGTTACCACTTTATAAAGTGTAAGAAATAGTTCCATTTTATAAAGTGTAGAAAATAATTCCGTTATATATTAAAATATACACGTTATGAGACTAACGGAAAACGTTTAGAATATTAGATGAAGTGGAATTTTTTCTTCCACTAAGCCTATTTTAGTTACTTCCTAAAGTAGTGGCTTATTTTGGTCACTTTTATGTTTTTGTGGCTTATTTAGATTCCCAGTCCGCCATTAACCCACTTAAATACTATCTGAGCTAAAGCAGGTTGGACCCACCTAGTTCCTATACTGAGTTTTAGATTCAAAGTTTTTTTTTTAATAATTTGTTTTAGTTAAAATATTTTTAAAAAAATTCTCATGAGTCAATCGCGATCGCATATCAACTGTAACTTAAAAATGGGTGAACTGAAGGTGTGTCAAAATGAGCCCAATTAATAAAATAAGTGAGTTATTAACTAATTCAAACATACACTAATTAGACGGATTATAATTTTATGGACTAATTTTAACACCGCGTCTATTTGGCATGACATCTGTAATGACAATATAATATAAGATGCCACTAGTCTGCCCCCAAAACACGTAGTCTTCAAGATAAGACTTTATCCTATAAACCAATCCATAGTTCATTTGACTGTTTACTTTTCAAACTTCTAAATACCTGTTTTTGTTTTTTACTACTCCCTCTGTCCCAATTTATATGACTTACTTTCCTTTTTAGTCAGTCCCAAAAAGAATGACACATTTCTATTTTAAGTAACAATTTGCCTATAAAATGTCTTTTTTACCCTTAATGAAATGATTTACCACCACACAAATTTCTATCATTCATTTTGGACCACAAGTTTTAAAAGTCTTTCCATTTTTCTTAAAGTTTGTGCCAAATCAAAGTACATCATATAAAATGGGACGGAGGGAGTAATATTTTTTTCAACTAGAAACAAATGGTCATACAAGTTGTTTCAATACTTGGTAAGCCCACGGAATTAATACTATATCCCCACTCATTATTGATTTCCCAAACTATAAATATCCCATTCTTTTTCCTTCATTCCCATATCCTTAATTTGTTGAGTATTAAAGAGTACTATACATCCAAAAACTTATAATTTCCCAAATTTTCTTTGTTGAATTTCAAATTCAACCCTTTTCTACTTACATTTCAAACTTATGTGTATGGTATCATCAGTTTCTGTTTCCATAGCTGAAAAAGAGTCTTTTTTCTCGAGATTACGGAATATGTTTCATTTCAGAAGGAATGAAGATAAGAAGAAGATAACAACAACGAAAACAACAACAACAATAACGAGAGCAGCAGCTGCTGCTACTACTACTACTAACTGTATTCCTGTGAGTGACAATAGTGGTAGTAGTAACAAGGGAGAGGTAGAGAGGGTATTTACGTACTTTGATGAGAATGGAGATGGAAAGGTATCACCTGCAGAGTTAAGGAAGTGCGTAAAGGCGGTAGGAGGTGAGCTGACCGTAGAGGAGGCGGAGATGGCAGTGAGGTTATCGGATTCTGATGGGGACGGGTTATTGGGCATTGCGGATTTTACGAAGCTGATGGAAGGAATGGAGGAAGAGAGGAATAAAGAGAGTGAGTTGATTGGAGCATTTGGAATGTATGAAATGGAAGGATACATTACTCCTAAGAGCTTGAAGAACATGTTGAGTCGACTAGGTGAGTCAACATCCATTGATAACTGCAAAGCTATGATTCGAAGGTTTGATCTCAATGGAGATGGAGTCCTCAGCTTTGATGAGTTCAAAGTTATGATGACAACTTAGAAGAGATATTTGTGTACTTAATATAATATGATTCTGATTGTTTCTCTATTGAGATTTTTTTTTTCATTCTAATAGATTCATAATTGTAAAGCCAAAGTATTTATGAACTCCTATTAGCTACGTTTGGAGCTAGTTTTTGAAGATATAAATTTGTAGTTATTGGTGTTTCTTCAAGGTTTACACTTGGTTAACTAAGGTAATCATCTCAGGACCCTTTTATGGTTGTTTTTATCAATTTCTACGAACGTTTCGACAAGTTGGGGCAATATGGCAAATCCACCGATTTAAGATTAATTATGAACTGTTTATAGGTGCATTTCAGCTGTGTATATATAGTGATTGTGAAGCTTAGGACATAAGGAACAACTTTCGTGAAGGAACCACGGTCTTTCGAGCGTTCATTGGAAAGGTATGTTAAGGCTATTCCCTACTTACGACATGTTTCCTTAAAGATTAGGAGCAATGTAATTGAGTTCTTATCCTTGTTATACTTATAGTCATTATTGTTGATTGTTGGCTGCTCGAGTTGATATAATCCTCCCTTGTCGGGATTCTTATTCAGTTAGTAGCGTCCCTATGCTGGACACGACTTAGAGGCTATTTGTATAGGTTGCTTATAACTAAATTGCTTGCTTTTAACGATTTGATTGTTATTGTTGCCCTTGGGCTATTGTGGTTAGCTGTAGGAATATGATCTATGCCTATAAGGGCTATGTTCTGCCTATAGGGCTATATGGATGCCTAAAAGGGCTATGAGTTTCCTACGGGGTTATATTGATGCCTAGAAGGGCTATGAGTTGCCTACAGGGCTATATTGACGCCTAAGAGGGCTATGTGCTTCCTACAGTGTCATGTTGTTGCCTAAGAGGGCTATGAGTTATCTATACGCTATGTTGATGCCTAAGAGAGCTATGTGCTGCCTATGGGGATATATTAATGCCTAAGAGGGCTATGTGACTGCCTACGGGGATAGGGGACTACCTATAAGGGTATATAGGTTTATTGACACCTTCCGAGCTTATGAGGGCCTGAGTAGGTGGTCTTGTGTGCTATTTGTACATGCCGAGCTTATGAGGGCTTGGTTAGGCTGTTGTTTTATTATTTTTGATAAGTTTAGATTTAGGAGCAGGTCAGTACACTTATCTTATCCTTGATTTATTTATCAGATTATTCCAATATATCATGATACCTCCTCATAGTCTATTGTCTTTCATACTCTGTACATTATTTCGTACTGACGCCCCATTGCCTGGGGGCGCTGCATTCATGGATGCAAGTCCTGACAAACGACCGAGTAGACCTCCTCAGCAGCAGGATTGACTTTTACCCGGTTGGCTAGCCCCTTTCCTCCGTAGCTGCCAGAGTTGGGAGGTTTGTTACCTTTTGTTGTATATATCTTTATGGCCGTAGGTTGGGGTCCTGTCCCGCTAATCTTTACTACTCTTAGAGGCTTGCTAGTATGTGGGGTGTATAGCTACGTTATGGTCATACTGGCATATGTTGTTGGTTTGCTGAAGCTTGTGAGTTGTTTGATGTATTGTATTGATATATACCTGCTTTTAGTTTTGGTATAGATATCATGGTGGCCTTGACGGCCCAATCAGAACTTCTGTGCTAGTTGGCTATTTATTTATATGATCTCGTGGGAGTAGCTGTTTCTTTTATAAATCAGTTGACAGGGGGCTTGTCGGCCGAGGGCTTAGTTTTAAGCCGAGATATACTTGTTTGTTTTCTTGATTGCGTGTGGCTGCCATGCGCTAATGGTTCAGCAGGGTCGGCTCGGTCCTGAGTTTTGGCATTATGAGCCAGTTGCGCCCCTCGAGTTTGGGGTGTGACAATGTATTACTTCTTTGTTTATTAAATTATTCATCAAACGAGGTGTGTAATTACTATAATTACGCATTCATTCTTGATATTACGTTGATCTATATCTTACTCAAATATCCTTAATTTCCCCTTATTTGCATCAAATTTACCACTTTACTATTAAATTTGGCATAGTTTTACATTCTTCTAGAGTCCTAGCTATCGTTGCCCAACAAGAAAAAACAAGCAAATTCAAGCTAAGTGTAGTCTTACGAAAAGTAGAAGTAGAAACTCAAAGAGAAAACTTACATTATATAGATGAAAGAAAGGACACTATTTTGGATACATATGCCATAAAAGGTAAGTAATGTATATATTGGGGTTAAAGCTGAATTTAAGGATGTTAAAATGAGTTGAGGTAATAAATGGACAGATCATTAACCCATTTAAATACTATCTGGGCTAAAGAGGGTTGGACTGAAATGAGCTAAAAAATCGGATCATAACCTAACCCACCTAATTCAATCTGAGTTTTAGATTCAAAATTTGTTTTCTTATAATTTGTTTTAGTAAAAATATTTTTTTATAAATTCTCATGAGTCAATTTAGGCAGCATATCAACCGTGACTTAAAATGGGGTGAACTGAACGGGTCAAAATGAGCCCAATCAATAAAATAAGCGGATTATTAACTCATCCAAACATAAACAGGTTAGACGGATTATAATTTTATGGACTGATTTTAACACCGTGTCAATTTGGCATATGACTTCTGTGATGACAATATAATATTAGATGCCACTAGTCTACCCCAAAACACGTATTCTTCAAGATAAGACTTTATCCTATAAACCAAACCATAGTTCATTTGACTGTTTACTTTTCCAACTTTTAAATACCTGTTTTTGTTTTTTACTAATATTTTTTTCTACCAGAAACAAATGGTCATACAAATTGTTTCAATACTTGGTAAGCCCACGGAATTAATACTATGTCCCCACTCATTATTGATTTCCCAAACTATAAATATCCCATTCTTTTTCCTTCATTCCCATATCCTTAATTTGTTGAGTTTTAAAGAGTACTATACATCCAAAAACTTATAATTTCCAAAGTTTTCTTTGTTGATTTCAAGTTCAACCCTTTTCTCAATTACTTATATTCTACTTACATCTTAAACTTATGTGTATGGTATCATCAGTTTCTGTTACCACAGCTGAAAAAGAGTCTTTTTTCTCGAGATTACGGAATATGTTTCATTTCAGAAGGAATGAAGATGAGAAGACAATGACAACAACAAACACAAGAGCTACTACTACTAACTGTATTCCTGTGAGTGACAATAGTGGTAGTAGTAACAAGGGAGAGTTAGAGAGGGTATTTACATACTTTGATGAGAATGGAGATGGAAAGGTGTCACCTGCAGAGTTAAGGAAGTGCGTAAAGGCGGTAGGAGGTGAGCTGACCGTAGAGGAGGCGGAGATGGCAGTGAGGCTATCGGATTCTGATGGAGATGGGTTATTGGGCATTGAGGATTTTACGAAGCTGATGGAAGGAATGGAGGAAGAGAGGAATAAAGAGAGTGAGTTGATTGGAGGATTTGGAATGTATGAAATGGAAGGATACATTACTCCTAAGAGCTTGAAGAACATGTTGAGTCGACTAGGTGAGTCAACATCCATTGATAACTGCAAAGCTATGATTCGAAGGTTTGATCTCAATGGAGATGGAGTCCTCAGCTTTGATGAGTTCAAAGTTATGATGACAACTTAGAAGAGATAGGTGTGTACATAATATAATATGATTCTGATTGTTTCCCTATTGAGATTATTTTTTTCCATTCTATAGATTCATAATTGTAAAACCAAAGTATTTGATTTCACTTTGTGGTTCAAGTAATTCAATCTCAGCTACTCAACTGTGCTAGATAAGTTCTGCAACGACAACAACAAATCTAGTGTAATCCTGCAAGTAGCATCTAGGGAGGGTAGTGTGTACTTCGACCTTACCCCTACCTTTGTGTCGCTTTTTCATTAACTGACTGCAACAAAAGTAAGAGATATATGTCTTTTCAGAATCCCCTTCAAAATTTGATTGCATTTTTTCACAACTTATTCACAATCATAATATGGCTTGTAATACATCACACCATTTGCGTAAGGAGAATTTTATATTGACAATACATTAAGGCAGCAACAATGCAACTGAGAGAAGTTGATTTTTTTAGAGATGTTTTATAGTTGACAGTTAAACAGGCAATTAACTGTCAGTCAAACTATCAATTTCCAAGCAACGAGTTCAGCTCTAGTACTGACCTTCGTATGTCATGTAGATCCTCCTCTACCTTGTCAGAGAAAGAGCACGATTGGCACGATAATGCATTCAGCAACTGAGTTTTTCTGCTTGAAGCAAGAGCCTTTTCTCTTTGCAAATCTTCTATTTTACTCATCTCCAACTGCAGTTCTTCGTCCAAAATCTTTAACTCCTCCTCCTTCAACGCTGCTGCAAACATACTCTCGTGGTACTCAAGAATCATGTTCTCAAACTCTTGCTTCCCGTTCTCTTTCATTTCAAAGATCATCTCCTTCTCCCCGATGACCCTTTGAAGCTTGTTGCCCATTTCCTTTACAGACTGCGAAATATTCTCTATCTCCTTTTCAGTGGCCTCAATATCTTTCTCTGAATTCAGCCTTTTTTCGTTCAAGTCTTCGATTTCCTTCTTCTTTATCCCCAAATTTTCCCTAATCTGCTTCATTTGATTCTGTAGCTTTGTTTTTTCTTCCTCCGACTTGAGTAATTCAGTAGCTTTACCACTCATCTGCCAACTCCTTTCTGGCAATTGGATATCGGGTTTCTCAATGTTATCTATGGCAAAGAGAACTCTGTCACTTTCCAGCCTTTGATTCTCGTCTTCCAATTTTGATTTTGATTCTGCTAGGATGTTTCTTAATTCTGATTCTGACTGTTTAGCCTGCATCTGTGCTTCCAGGAGTTCAACCTTAGATGCTTGAAGATGAGCCAATTTTGCTTTCTTTTGGTTGAGACAAGTAGATGAAGCATTCAATCTTGCTCTTGTTTGAGCTTCCCGTTGTTCGAAGTAACCAACTGATGAAGAAAAGCTTGATAGTGAGTATCTTAGTGCTGATAGCTTATTATCAAGCAAAACTTTCTTTCCAAGCATTTGTGAAGACTGAAGCTTGAAGGATGTGTATCCCTGTTTTTTCACTTCAATGCTCTTTTCGAGTCCTTCAATTTCTTCTGCAAGCTCATCAACCTCGACAATTGCCCTCTCTAATGAACCAAACATACTTATGGTGTTGGCAGATTTTAGAAGCTTTTCCTGCGCTTCTTCAAGCTTCATTCTCAACAAACTTAGGTCCTCTGATACAGGATTATGTAAAACATCTGATGACTTATCTTCCATTTCAACATCCTGCTTCAGATCTTCAGGAAGTTCATATAGTACAGCTTCTGCAGTTGATTCAGGATAAATGGTTTCCACCATCATGTAATCGCTTTTGCCCAATATTTCAGAAGTATGTTCTTCACCTGGTTCTGATGTTTTGTAGCTAGGTAGTTCATCTGAGTCAGCAGCAATATTGCTTCTCTGTAAAGTTACTGTCTCCCCTGACGAAACAATGTCATCTAAATCATGATTCTGTAAAGCATGTTCAAAAAACTGTTGGCTGTCATCTTCAATATTTTCTTGTTGGGGATTCTGACCTCTATCAGTCCCATTGTTCTTTTCTGCTACTGCTTGCTCGTACAGTTCTATCAGTTTGTTATTGTCCTCAATTAGGACTTTGAGCTTCATCCTCAATTCATCATTTTCCTTAGACAAGGAAATTGCAGTTTCATGAGCTTCTGCTTCTCTTTGGCTGGCTGCTGCTATAGCATCAACAATAGTTGTTAGCTCCGTCTGATCACTGACAGCAATAGTAGGCGCCTGATCATTTGCAACCAAAGACGGCTCAATTTGACCCTTCTTCGATTCTTCCATCAGAACTGCTTTAGATGATCTCTCAAATTCTAGCTCTTTTTCCAAGTCATTTAATTGCCTGTATGGACAGTGCAAAGAGATTCAAGATCCAAATTAATTCCTAAATACTTGAACAATATTGTTGGACCCAGAAGAAACCAGATTAAGTGTAACAGGTTTAATCCTAAGCTTGGATGTCGAGCAGATAGGAGATTTGAATTCTCAATATCAATAGGTTTATGAAAGCAGCTTATGTATTTTGAAGGGGGTCCACCAACTACGACCGTGAGATACTAAAGCAGGTAGAACAAAGAGATGACAGAGGAAGATAAGAAACACTAACCTTTCCAATTTGTCTTTCTCATCAACACAAAAAACAAGTTGTCTATGGAGTGCATCCAGCTCTGATTGGTTTTGAATTGCCTGAAAGATAAAAAATGTCTTGTTAGCAGTTATATGGTGAATAACCTATGAAATAACCACTAAACTCGTTTGTACTATTTTAAGCTCGTTGTCAGGTGAAAAGATATATTACCTGAACTCGGAGGAACTCATTTTCCTCATTTATTGGTGTACGCCAAGGTGAAGCCTAGGTGTGGCAGAAATTATAAAGAAAAGCAAATATTTCAGTATGGTTGAAAAAAAGCTGAATGATCTCCAACATCAGATCCAAAACTTTGATTCACTTGCAAGTAGAAACATGAAGACATAAATTCAAAAATAAGATTAAAAAGATAACCCCACTTTTCTCAAATTTGATGCATTTTCGAACAAAAAAAATACAAATCACAGTTTCAATTAGATAGACCAGTGTAATTGAGCAGATGTAAATGTTACAATAACTACTCTAAGATTGTCAAACCTGAGATGACGTTAGTAGATTCAGGTCATTCTCAATATGCATACCAAGCTCTGAACTTCCCTTCTACAACACAAATAGACAATAAACTACAGTTAAACAAATGACAAGCTCCTTCTGGAACAATAAAAATGAGTTCCTGCATTAAAATCCTAATGGAGTTTTTAGGACAACCTGAACCGGTGCAGGATCTGATTCATGCATAAGTTTCCAATCAAGTGCTTCTAGAAGCTGCATATCAAAGAGACCCATTAGGCAAAACATTGCTAACAACTTTCGTATTTGACAGAGATCCCAGACATGCTGATCAAGAAGAAAAGAAATTGCTAAGGACTTTGAAATGCATTCTTTGAAGCAGAATCAAGAAGTAAAAGATAGAAATTTTACTTTACTGACCAGAGTTATTGATTAAACAACACTCTGCAGTGTGCTTTTTTCGGAAATAATTGTATCATGTATGACTAAGGGATCAGTTATGATAACACAAAAAGAGAATAAAAAGACTCGGGAAATCATGCCTATTCTCAGATTTGCAAAAGCAGATTGCTTGATTGAATTCTCTAGAGAGTAAAAAGAAAAATCAAGACAACAAGGAAGAGGAAGAAGTCAACTCTAACCTTATTTTGTAGCATCATGATCTGTTCATTCATTCTTTCTCGCTCACCTTCCTCATAAAATGACTTCAATCTACATTACCAACAAATAAGAATTATCAAACTAGTGAAGTAGCAAGACATCGACCTGCCTAATATAACTAGAAACATTTTGCTTCTCATTGACTAGTATGATCAAAACTAGAATTTATCTCCAAGATTCAGACAAAGAAAGGAAAATGTGCACTCTACGATAACTAAAAGATAACTCAAATAACATGCCTTCTGATCTCTTCTTTTAGCCGTAGATTCTCCATAGCAAATCTTGTAACTTCTTGGTTACGATCAACCTGATTCCGTAGGACCTCTATCTCCTTCAACTGCTCTTCTTTCTCCTTAAGCAAATGAATCTCAGCAGATATCTTTCCTGAAGCAACTGATTCGAGCCTTTTTATAGCAGCTTCTCGAAACCTTAATCTCATCTTTAAACCTTGTATCTCATCTTCCCTTTGTTTGGTCTGGATTAGACACAACATTGCAAATTGGTTTATATGTAAAATTCAGATCATGTAGTGTCTACTTTTGAAGGTCTACATCCTAATCAATTTAGCACAGAGAGTAACATTGACATCGGAAGATCCTCACAGCTTGATTGGGTGCAAGAAAGGAAATCCAGAAAACCAATTTCACTTGGAACATCCCTAAACACTGGGGTAGGACAGATTTGTTGATCAACTCCTATTTGTGTTTATGGTTTCCAGAGTTCTGAGTTATGTTTACTGGAACCCTATGGCCTAATTGCAAGACTTACCGGGCAGGACAGATTTGTCGATCAACTCCTATTAGTGTTTATGGTTTGCAGAATTCTAGATTAAGTTTACTGGAACCCTCTGGCCTCATTCGTAAAACTTACTACCTATGCATATATAAAAATGCCAAGTCGAGTAACTGAAGTGAAAACTTCCATAAAACATACCAGTTGCATTGCTGCCTGATTTTCAGTAGTTAATGCTTGTAATGCAATGTCTTTATCCTTTTCCCTCCTAAAAGCCCCAACAAGGGCAACTTCGTAGTCTTTCTTCTGAAATTACAAGAAACTTTACTATCAGATCCAATCATGGAGCAGATGTTTCTCCTCATAGCCAACTTAAGATAAACCTACCTTTGACACCCGTTTATCTGCTGTAAGTGGACTAGAAAATCCATGAAGCCCTTCCCATTTAACAGATGTAGGCGATCCTGGAAAAGCAACTGTCCAAGCATCATTTTCATGGTTTTCAACTCCTCCATCAGCCACACTCCGAAGACGAGCTACTTCTTTCTGAGAGGTAAAGAAAAGTAATTAGGCGCATCTAACATTTAGAATTACAGATATTAAGAGCACAGGTAACAGAAAACACTTTTCCAAATTTTCCCCAGCTTAAGAAACTAAAATCTGAATTTTGAAGCAGGGAATGGGAGCAATAAATGTGAACTTATTTTAAATTCTAAGGTACATGT